ATGAGTATCATTCCCGTTCAGACCTCTTCACCAGAAAACTCAGCTGCGGATCCCATTACTACAGACTCTCATACACCAAAAGGGTCACCATGTCTATCTATCATACCTGAATCCCTTGCTACGGACAACTCTGAAGCACAAACCGAAATTGAGGTAATTCCTGATCCTAATCTACAAAATTTAATTCCGGATACTCAAATCAGAAGATCAGAGAGACAAAATAAAGGTATACCCCGAACCACTTATGAACCAGATCCAAATGCAAAAATTAAATATCCCATTACCAGTTATATGTTATCTCATAGGATATCTGGATCATATGCTTTAATGGTTGATCAATTATCTATTGTAGCTATTCCTAACAATGTACAGGAAGCATTGGAAGATCCTAAATGGAAGGAAGCAATGAACATCGAAATGGAAGCACTTCACAGTAATAAAACTTGGAGTCTAACTAGTTTACCAGAAGGAAAGAAGACAGTTGGATGTAAATGGGTGTACACAGTGAAGCTAAAGGCAGATGGAAGCATAGATAGATATAAAGCAAGACTTGTGGCAAAAGGATACACTCAGAAATATGGAATAGACTTCCAAGACACATTTGCTCCAGTGGCCAAGCTTAACACCATTCGAATCTTAATTTCAATAGCAGCCAACAGGGATTGGCCCTTGAAGCAGTTTGATGTCAAGAATGCCTTCTTGAATGGTAATTTAGAAGAAGAAGTATACATGGAAGTTCCACCAGGGGTAAAGGCGAAGAACAATACAATTTGCAAGCTAAATAAAGCCTTATATGGTCTTAAACAATCATCAAGGGCGTGGTTTAGTAGACTTACACTCGCAATGAAGAAGTTTGGCTATAAACAAAGTAATTCGGATCACACACTGTTTATCAAAAGGAAGGAAGGGAAAATTGCCATACTTGTTGTCTATGTTGATGATATGGTTCTAACGGGAGATGATATGGAAGAAATGAAACTGCTGGAAAAAAGGCTTGCTGATGAATTTGAAATGAAAAGTCTAGGACAACTGAAATATTTCTTTGGAATAGAAATTGCAAGGTCTAAACAAGGAATATTCATGTGTCAGAGAAAGTATACACTGGACATCTTGTCTGAGACTGGAATGATGGCCTGTAAACCAAGTGACACTCCAATAGAGATAAATCACTCTCTTGGTATATATCCAGAGCAAGTTGAAACGGATAAAGGCAGATACCAAAGGTTAGTAGGAAAGCTAATATATTTGTCCCACACTAGACCTGATATTGCATATTCTGTAAGTGTAGTAAGCAGGTTAATGCACTCTCCTAGTGAAGAACACATGAAGGCAGTATACCGTATTCTCAGATACCTGAAGGGATCACCAGGGAAGGGACTTCTGTTTTCAAAAAATAAAGAAGCCTGCATAGAAGGATACACAGACTCTGATTGGGCTGGAGATAAAACCACTAGGCAGTCAACTTCCGGATACTTCACTTTTGTAGAGGGAAATCTAGTAACATGGAGGAGCAAGAAACAAAAGGTAGTAGCCAGGTCCAGTGCAGAAGAAGAATTCAGAGGTATGTCATATGGCATCTGCGAATTACTTTGGATCAGAAGCATACTTGCTGACTTAGGAATAAAATATAATCAGTCAAGGAAGCTCTTTTGTGATAACAAGGCTGCTGTGGAAATTGCACATAATCCAGTTCAACATGATAAAACTAAACATGTTGAAGTGGATAGGCACTTCATTAAGGAAAATTTACAGAATCAAGTGATCCAGATACCTTATGTTCGATCAGAAGACCAACTTGCAGATGTGCTGACAAAAGGTGTTTCAGTGAAAGTATTCTACAAACTTATTGACAAGTTGGGCATGATTGATATTCATGCAACAACTTGAGGGGGAGTGTTGAAAATAGAATTTGTTTGAATTATTGTTACATAGAGTAGGATCAAGTTGTTTAGAACAAAATCGTTTTCTGATTTAGTTGTTGATTATTGTTAGGATGTTTCCTTATTTTGTGGCTGTATTGTTGACAGCAACTTGTATATATACTCCTCATTGAAGAGGTAAAGTAATGAAGTATAGTGATTGTATAATGTAGTTCAAATTTTAACAATTATATTTACTAACTTTTTGCTTACAAATTACATTATGTACTCCCGAAAAGTACACTAAGTTATACTATATACTTCCGGGAGTATATAGTAGAATTTGCAAAAAATTATAAATTTTTTTTGTAAATAGATCCTTCCCCAATTTAAATATATTATGATATAAACTAACTAAAATTAAGAAAAATAAATACACGTATAATTTTTTGACCCGAACTTAAATTTGAGTCCGGCTCCGCCACTGACTCTATAAACAAATCAAGCATGAGGTCACAGGCAGTCCACATGTAGGGTTACAGTGGGTGGTTATCTTCAATTTTGGCAATGGAACAAAGCATATGTATACATAATTAAACTAGAAGAAAAACGTGAATGCATTGCAATTTTCTCAATCTTAAAGCCGAGCCTCATCACAGGTCATAAACACGACGGTTATAGCAATCTATAAGACTATATAATTAAGCTAGCTATACACAATCGTTGATATATATGAAGTAACATCGTGAATCGGCCCAACGTTATGGAAAACTTCACGAGCGTCTTTCATAGAGTTAAATCGGGGAAAAAAAGATGTAATTTTTTCGCTGGAGGGAATTAAATTCGACTTGCAACATATATATAAAGCAGCTAGCTAGCCCATTCTTTCTTGTGCCTTGACTTAAAGATTATTACCATATGTAGCCAAACAAATTGCTTAGAGGCGATCCCAATGGTGTACATTTCTTAACATGATTCCGTTACAAAAAATTGAATGATCACCTGCTTGCACATATATATGGTCCCGCGGCTAAATGAATAATTACCCTTTTTGTCCTTAACGTTAGGGCCTTGCTAGTACGTAGAAACCCTAATGTAAAAAAGCCATGATTGGAGAGAAGCCATAGTTTCAGAGGATCTTTCTCTAGATTTTGATATCCAGTGCCTACATACATCAATTCTCTCTATATGATTTGGTCATAAGGAATGAGAATTCCCTTGTTAGAATAATAAATCATGCTTTTTCCCAAAACTTGAAAATATATAGGATCTCAAGATATAGTACCGACGCGAATCCAAATGAATGATGGTACATTCTCCTTCAGATATTCTCATACCCAAAAAATCATTGCTAAGTTCAATTGGTATAATCTGAATTCTCAAGATACGTAGCGTGTGTATTTGCGGAGTAGATCATATATAGCTGAGTTTGGCAAGAAAGAGATTCTCCGGCCCCATGATGCCAACTTGTAAAACATGATTTAATATATAATATACATATGCTTAACACGTTAAACCCAACCAATGGCATTAGCCACTAAAGATTCAGTATATCTATCATTCATTTTATGCTCCGTGAACAAAAAAAATATCATATCATGTGATTGGTTATTATTTAATTTTCTCTTTTTTTCAGATAATGTGATATTGTTTATTCACGTATCATAAAATGAATAATAATTATATTGAATCTTTACACCTATGAAACACCGACACTTCCTGACACTCCAATACTCGTTACAAAGACTCAAAAAAGATTTACTATAAACATTTAGAATATCTTATGTTTCTTTGCAAAATTAATGGATATTATAAGTTTAGCTTTATTTTTTATTAAATTATTGAATATTAAATATAATATACACTACATAAATTAAAAATATTATATAATATCAAAACGTGTCCTAATATATCAAAATTTAATATTTTTTAAAATTAACATCTCAGAATTATCATGTCGTAGCCCGTGTCGATGACGGTGCTATATAGCTTTACACTAAGGGGGCGTTTGGTTGAGGAAATTTTTTTGGAATAGTAAGAAAATGTAATAGATAGAAAAATGATTGGAAAGATAGATAAAGTGAGATAGGTAGAAAAATATAAAAAAAAATTGTTTGTTGAGAAAAAACTTTACTGGAAAAATTAGGTAACTTTATGAAATCAACGGTGCATTAAAAGCCAGATAACCGATTTTCCGAAAAATCCCATCTTCAAATTGGGTTTCTAAACAGTGCGGATATCTATATTTCTCATAAATCCATACAAATTGGATAGATGGATTTTTGGTGAAAATAAGTTGAAACAAACATGGTGTTTCTAAAAGCCATACTTGAGAAACATAGATATCCGCTGAAAAGCTCCCAATCAAACACTACCTAAAGATTTCTTCCAAACAAAGACACCACACCAAGTGTATATTATTATTATTATTATTATTATTATTATTAATTATAAGATAAAGTGCATAAGGACTATCACTATGTGGAGGAGGGCTTGCAGCGGAGGATAATATTCTTACACGGTTACCAAGAGGAATGTTTGTAGGACCCCTCCACTGGAAAAGGAGGAGACCAGAGTCAAGCTCCAGCTTCTTTGGCTTTCAATATAAGAAAGAGAAAAGAAAGCCCATGTGGGGGATATATAAAGCGAAACAATAATCTTCACAAAAATGGTTGAATGAACCCTCAACAACAGTAAGGAACAATTAGTTAGGACATGGAACCCACTTTGATCGAAAATTCTAGATTGCATTCATTTAGTACAGAAAACAGAAGAGGAGAAGCGATCAAGCAAGATTTTGTTACTCATTTCCACATAAAAAATGTTTTTTAAGAGCAATTTGCTAACCTAGCGCGTTGTATAATCTATTATTATATATATAGTACTACTATACCATTACAAAGGGCAATATAACAAAGGCATATAAATTAATGGGATCGTACAAAGCAAGTCATGTTATGTTACGGATCCTATTTGGACGTTGCTACGTTAGAACTGTGAAAGGATGAAGGAATCAGAAAGAGCAAGACGCTACACTGTTAAGATCTGACACTTCTGATCGGTTGGCACGCAAAAAGAAAGGAAAAGAGAAAGCAAAAAGATAGGGAGACCACTTTTGCTGTAAAGGATTTGACAGCCATCATTCCAACTTACTTTATGTCCCAATACTATATACATAATCACTCAAAAGTAAAAAAACCAACCAAAAATCCAAGTTTACAATTTACAAATAACAACACTAAAACTAGCTACTAGGCGTACTCTAACCTGCTGCATAGTAAGTGGTTTTAACCTTAAAATTAATTAGTAGCTAAAACTATCATAGTGACTTAAATCTCAGCTTATGTATGACCGACGAATCTCTCATAGTACCTGACATTAGTATTGATGACTGATGTGAATCCTCTCCTTGCTGTGGTAGAAGCAAACCGTGCGCGAAGATCCTGGTAAAAGCCCAATAACATTAGTTATAGTCACGGGAAAGCGAAAAATCGGTTTTGAAGTCTTTAGATAATATTAGGTTATCAAGTCTGAACTTCTCAAACTTAACCTAAAATGAAAGATGGCTTAAGATTGCAGCCACATTCTTCTGGATCAAAAGCCGAAAGCTAGAAAAAGCCAAAAATTGAAATGGATTAAAGAACCAAAAACAGAAGCCATGTACCCTATTTTTTTTAAATGGTTCTGATCACTCCAGAAATCCAAACAGCCACTCCCCAGACGAAGAAAAAAGAAAATAAAAACAAAAACAAAAGCTAAAACACCAACCCCTTTGTTCACCTTTTTCTTTGTCTTTTTTTACTTTTTTTTTTTTCATTTTCCTTCTCCAATATCTACCATGATCCTCCACCTAACATGCCATTCCAATACACAGTTGAATCCCCTTGATTTCTATTCTGTTCAAACTCAGTGGTGCCTGGAACCTGCTGCTTCAAATCCTCCACAGGAAACAAGATCCTTGCACCAGCACCCTCTTGAATTCCCTGAAGACCACCATAGCCATTTTCAAATCCCTCAAGACTGAAGTTAAGGCCAGGCTTAAAGTCTTGCAAAGGAAACCCAGATGAATTATACATTGTACTTGAATCCGATAACGACATGGGCATGAAAGAATTTAAACCCCTTGAAGAAGTAATCCCAGTTTTGAGAAGCTCCATAGCAGACAACTGATGATGAGAAGATGTTGAAGAAGAACTTGGGTTTTGAAGGTTGTGATTAATATGATTCTTGTCTTCAGTGCTGTAAGGAACCTCAATAAATTTAGATATGCTGTTGTAGTCCTCAGCTGGTGGATATGCTAAGTTAAGATCTTGGCCTTGATGGATCTTTGGGTTTTGAGAAGCAGATTGAGGGAAATTCTGTGTTGTCAGATCAGGAAGCTTCTTTGTTGATATTGGAGCTGAGGATGAAGTTGATGTTGTTGCTGATGGTGTGGATCTCTTGTTCTTTCTTGAGCCACCACCAACAGGAACGTTTCTTAAAGAACCACCTTCAGTCCAATACCTTCTACAAGTCTTGCAAAAGTACCTTGGCTGAGAGAGGCTATAGTTATTGTAGTAACAGAACTTAGTGTTTGTTGAATTGCACCTTGGACAGTTCAAAGCTTGATCTTTCTGAGGCCTTGCTTTTCTCTCCAACATAGGATTAGGCTTTGAACCTTCCATAGGTTTAACCACTCCAATCCCCTGGAAAAACATCCAAAATTCAAAATAATAAAAACAAAAAGAAAGCAAAAGGCCATAATAACTTAAACTCAAAAAAATGTTTAGGGAGAAAGAAAAGTAAGGAGGAGGAGGAGGAGGAGGAAGGAAACAAACAAGACAAGCAAACAAAGAAGCTGCTTTTACATGTATTACAACAGCAGCAAAACAAAACAAAACAAAATTTATTAACTTTTCTTGGGTCCTATATACTCCTTTATCAGAAGGTGGAAAGGGGAAAAATGGGAAAAAGAAAGGTGCAGTACTTTCAATAGCAGAAGGAAAAAAAAATATAAATGAGGGAAAGATCTTTAAAAAGACAGCAACAAAAATTGAATTTAGTGGGGGGGCTGAACTGAACATCACAAAAGTTAGGGATAAAGTAAAACTTCCATTAGAACTAACAATAATCAAAATAATTTCCTAAAACATAAAAACTTAATAATCTAAATTATGGTTGAAAATCACAACCCCTCAGCAGAGATTTCATGATTATATGGAAAGAAAACAGAAAAAGGGGTCTGTATACCTGTGCCCACTGAGCTGTGTCCATGGATTTAAGAGGAATGGAAAAAAAAGGAAAAGCTATTGAGTCCTCAGAGAAAGAAAAACACCAACTTTTCTAGAGGAGAGTTAAAAGCAAGTGTGGAAAGGTTTGAGAGTTGGGATATAGTAGTGGTGGTTCCATCTTCCATGTGTTGGCCAACTAGCTAGCTATAATGCACATAAAGGGGTAACATAGTCTTTTGAGAGTCTCTTAATCACTTTATGATATATGATGACACATATGCGGAATTTGTGTACATGGCATGTAAGCCTCTTGATAAAGTATTCTACACAAGTCAACAATATTCTTCCTCGGTGTCTTTTTGTACATGCACAGTAGAATTAGTCGGTTAAGACCAAAGAAAAAGAAACAGATTATTCCTCATCGTGTTCTTTCTCATCACGTAATGACTAATATTTAAAATTAAAAAAGCACTACTTAGTTTTTTTTTTCCTGACATCTCATGTGGAGATAGGATGTAACACTTACTCCAATTTTATATATTATAAGCTTACGGAATAAGAAGTTATTTCATTTAAAAGTTAAGATATATCTCAAAATTTAATAATAATTTTGTAGTTTTATAGTCAAAGATGATTTATTATTGGATTTCTAATATTACTTACACATGTACTGTATTTAAGATCAGGATTCTCAGCATATTTTTAAAAAGCAAAACGGATTTCAACCGTTAAAAATTTGTATAAAAGAGCATATTTGATAAAAAAAAATAATAACCTAAAATCTATTTATAAACTAAAATTAAAAAAAAAGTTTAAGAAATAACGGCAAAAACTATTTGTTGATTCCATAAAGTTGTTCTAATGGTTTTGAAGAAGAAAAGATAAAATAATTTATTATTAGGGGTGATTATTAGGGGGAAACATAAAATTTATAAATACAAATTTATAATAAGAGTAAAATTATAAAATAAACATAAGGACCCCAAAAAGCTGACATATATTTTTTAAAACTCTTCTTAGGAGCTTTTATCTTCTTTTTTCATTACAAACAAAAAAAATTATATAAAAACATATTTGATCAAGTTTATGCTTTTAAAGAGAAGAAAATTTAAAAATAAGAAAGGCCATGAAGGCACTTAGCCAATTTGGTACATCATTTTTTTAAGGTAAAAGTTATTTTTAAGCTAAAGTTATAGGCAATCACATTCAAGCGGAAAACATTCATATCAGGCGAGGTTAGCTTTTTCAAAAGAAATACATGTGATTTATTCACAGAGTTTGAAAAGTAAAATTAAAAGTTATTTAGTGATTATATAAAGTTATTCTAATAATTCCTAAGGATGGAAGATAAAATAATTTATTATTAGGAAGAATTATTAAGATCAATGATAAACTTTATAAATACAAGTTTATAATAAAGGTAAAACTGTAAAAAAAATTAGGACTCCAAAAAGCTAGCACATATAAAAAAAATTCCCCCGGGAGCATTTAGCTTTTAGTTTTTTTTTTATTTTAAAAAACCCTTTTTAAAATTAGAATTTTTATAAAATTATGTTTGGTAAAGTTTCTATTTTCAATAAGAAGATAAACTAAAAATAAAACATGTCAAAGAGGTACAGGCACATAGATCAATGCTATTATATTTATGCATAAAAAATATTAAATGGAAACGTGTTTTCCTTGAATCTAAATTAGAAAAAAAAACATATTAAGTGACTATTACAGTTTGACAAAAAAAAAGTTTATCTAAGTTATCTAAGTTAATTTTAGATAATGGCACTTATACAATTATCGTTGAAGATGTAATTTTATTATTCTTTTATTGAGAATATAAATAAAGATAAATAGAGGTAATAGAGAATGTTTAGTACGAGAATTTAATAACAATAAAGATTAAAAATCTTATTGGTGTTTCCAAATTGATAATTATTGTTTTATTGACATAGGTGCTTACATTTATTTATATACTCTTCTTGTCTCTTATAATAACATAAAAATATTACTTGATTATGTATTTTCATGGAGAATGTCTAGTACGATAATGGCAATTGTGAAATTAAGCTTGAAGTTATAATGTTATTAAATATTTATTCTTTTATTAAGAAGAGAAATAATGATAAATAGAGGTCATGGAGAATGTCCAGTACGTCAATTTGATAACAAGAAAAATAGAAAATTGTATTCGTGTTTCTAATTTGATTATTTTTATTATTATTAATTTGGTATCCTTGATAATTTATTAAATTCTTTGCATAAAAACTTAACATTTTTTTCACCTCTTATAATAAGACATTATTTTTATTAATAAAATATTGATTATTTATTTTCATATGAAAAAATTTAATTCTCGTAACAGTTAATTATCTCAAGTTATAATCCTTTGAGGAAGCAACAATGTATAGTTGAATAAATATATAAAAAAAGCTTTACACAAACCGGTAGATTAAATTAGGGGCGTTTGATACGTGACTTTTGACATGATTCCTCGAAAACTGAATTTTTTTAAATTTTAAATTTTTGGATATTATTGTAAACTGAATGTAAAAATCATATTTTTAAAAATTGAGATTTTCGGACAAAGAAAAAAAAATTCTCTACCAAACGCCCTCTTTGGAGAAAAAATCTCTCCTTTTAAAGGAGATAATTTTTCTTCTACTAGTGATTCATAATATAAATAGGATCTACAAAATAGTGAAGAAAAAAAATTCAAGGTAAAATCCATTTATGCTATGAGTTACTGATAGGAGAAAATATTCTCCCTTAAATTAAATTATGTATATGTTTATGGTTTCAATTTTAATTTGTTTGGAAATCTATATCACTACGTTTATAAAGCAACGAAACAAATGCATTAATATGCTTTAATAGATGAGTGAATAATGAATATTTATCATTGCACCAGAAAATCATTGCAATTCTTTGGGACAGTCACCATTTTGTCATGTTTGGACAAAAAAATTATCAGACTGTCACGTCAACAGTAAATTTTGCCAAAATGTCACGCGGCATAATTCGCTACACAGTGTAGCGAATTATGCATGCAAGTAATTCGCTACACAGAGTAGCGAAATATGCCACGTCAGAACCAAAAATGTCACGTGTCAAAATTGTAGAAATTCACTACTCTATGCAGCGAGTTTCTTCAATTTTAACACATGGCATTTTTGGTTCTGAGCAGTATGACGTGGCATATTTCGCTACACTGTGTAGTGAATTACTTGCATGCATAATTCGCTACACTGTGTATCGAATTATGCCGCGTGACATTTTAACAAAATTTAATGTTGACGTAGCAGTCTGATAAATTTTTTGGCCAACACTTTGATCACTTTTCCCAATTCTTCTGTGTCATGTTTTCTGAATCACCCAATTTTTTTGTCTTTAAGTGGGGTCTGACGTGAATAAATATGTCGAAGGCAAACTACGAGTGGTAAAGGGAAAGAAAAAGCCAAAGCAAAAGCCCAAAAAAAAATTTGGTTCGGTTCAATTGAACGTGGACACACGTGGGAACACACCTTAATTTAAAAAGAGAGAGAGAGAGAGTTGTTTGTGTACAGGCCTGCTCAAATGGGACAACACAATCGAAGCAGTTGTGACTGGTGAATGGGTATCGACGGCGGTGACGGCGGCGGCGAAGGCTCGAAGTTCAAGAGAAGAGGTTTAGCTCCGGGAAGAGGGAATTAGAGGACGCGTGGCTAGAAATGAAGGGAGGATGTAACTGTTTGGGGAATGTTTAAAGCTGAAAAGAGGTGAATTTCTCACTGATTTGATGGCGAAACGTGTCCGTGACGTTAGATTCTGAACCACAATAACCCGGGTACTTATCAGTTATCACTTCTTGCACATGTGGGTTATGGAGCACCGTCAGATCACATCCACTCGAAGGGACAGAATCTTCCCCCGCCGTCTGATGAATCGACAGTTGGTTCTTACTTCTTCGTCAAGACTTGTCCTAAGGGCGTCAATTCCGACCACTCCAAGCTAGCTTCATAAATTATTAGCCCTGTTTCATAAACAATGGGTCAATCAAACTGATGAAAAATTATGATTTAAATTGATTAAGTAATCAAATAAGAGTAGTTTACTTTGTGTCAGGAAATTGAGAAAATAAATATGAGAATAAGTGTTTAGTTTTTTTTAATATTATTTTTGAAAAGAATTTAAAACATTAATCTATGAACTTATTCTGAATCAAACTAATCACAAAATAATGAATTGATCGAAATATTTTAAAAAACAAAATTGATTAAATAAAATTTACTTGAACTTAGAAAACAAAAAATACTTAATTTGAAGCTTACGAATCTAATTTATTATAAGTTAATTCAGGTTGGTTCATTAAGTTATGTTTATATTTAAAATTTTAAATTATTATAAAAAAAGTAAGTATAAAATATAAAAAAACAAATAAGGATAAAAAAGGAATAAGACTTCGGATTGGATTTGATCTGAACCTATTAAGATCTATTAATTTTACTCGATTAAAATTGAATATCCGACCCAACCTCACCTATGGATTACACGATTTCCCAGATCTAGAAGTATTATTCTAAACTTAAAGTGAATATATAATTATTCTCAAATGATATTAAGTAAATTTTAAAAATAATAATAATTCAAATAATTAATTTCAACGTTTTCGAACTTGTAGACTAACCCAACTCAAATTGGGCAAGGTTTAATCGAGCCGATTTTTTATTTTATTTTATTTTTAATTTTGTTAAACCCGATTCACTTAACACCCTTGACGTATCCTACGTGTTGCATTTCATGTACTCCACCTTCTTCTTCTTTTTCTCTCGCTCGCAAATGCTACGAAAACGATTGAAACAAAAGAATAATAAATACTCACACATAAATTACCTCGTACATACATTATTCATAAAACTAGATTATATCTTGATTCATTTCATTTATCGTCTGCTCACTTCCGTTTTAATTATAATTTTGTCATTTTTTTCATTAATGTAAGAGATGTAAAACATAAATGACATGCAATAAAAAGACAAATAATTAACTTACACTTTGTTTTGGAATAGTGACTATTTTGTCACGTCTGGTCAAATTATTTATGACTGCTACGCCAACAATAAAAATTTTCGGAATGTCACGCGGCATAATTTGCTATATTGTGCAACGAAATATGTTTG